CCAATGGTGTGGTAGACCTCTCCTGAACCACCCGCTGCTCCCCTCAGCAGTATATTTAGTCACTCTACCTGCTCTGCTCTCTATTCCATCTCTAGTGAATTCTCTCACCACCACATCCCTGCACCTCTGGCCTGTACCCAGTTCTTGTGTGCATAAATAAATAAATATAAAAAAGAAATTAAACTATACACTTGGACAAGTTGTGTCCCAACTGAAATATTTAATCACCTTTAGGACATTGTGAAAATCATGTTTCTTTATCCTATAAATTCTTTATCAGAATTTTAAAGTTTCAGTTCATAAAAGCATTCATTTTCATAAAGATACCTAGTTAGCTATGACAAATAGCCACAGATACCATTTATTTAGTGGAAGAGCTAAAAAAAAAATGAGGAAATTCACCATTTTTTTTATAGTGAATGTCTCAGAAATCCTGTTACACACATATGAAAATAAGTACTAAAAATCATTATAAAACTAAGAATAAGTCCATGAAGAAGTCCAGTGAGCAATTAACTAGGACTGTTTGCTTTCTAAGTTTCTTGAAAAGCTCTAAAGGTCTAACTTCTATTATTAGGAGAATGAATACATAATGGTCAAATTATAGAATAATATTCTAAAATTAGTTAAAATTTTGTGATATAGGGCCCTTCCTGGTGGCAGAGCAGGTTAAAGCACAGGACTCAGCAGCTAAAGCCATACAAGTTCAATCCCTGGCCCCAGAGGTGATCCACATGGCGTGGCAGACCTCTCCTGGCCCTCTCACTGCTTCCCTCAGCAATGTACTTGGTTGATCTGCCTGTTTTGCTCCCCACACTGTCTCTGGTGAAGCTTCTCACCACCCCCTGAGTCTCTGGCCTGTACCCTAGTTCTATATGCATAAAGTCTTAAAAAAAATTGTGTTCTAAATTTGCAGTGACAAACACAAATACTTCTGAAAAGTATATTACATCACTTATAAATACAAGTGACAAAAAATTTTATATGTTGTAGCATTTATATAAAATTTCAAAAGACAAGTATCAATGAAATTGATATATAAGTAGCAAATTTTAACATGTTTGTGGGCAATTTCTTAGTTGAAAACAGTGAATGTTTCTAATTGATACTATTTTCAATTGTGTGGATCTTATATACTTATTGTTTTATTTTTGTATGGAAGTTACCCATTTAGTTATCTTATACAAGTAATTTGTCTTAAAATACACAAGACAAGGGGCTATTTTTTAATTAGGTTATATATAAAATATTTTCAATATTTTTCTGAATGTGATTTTTTTTCTGGCAAATAAGCTACTATGTTGTAACCTGAACCATAATGACTCATATTGCCAGATATAACTTCAAAGTTGTTACTGATAAAGAACTCTGCTTAGAACACTATCAATAAAACAGTTTTAAAATATTCCTGCACAAATCCAGATATACTTTTTGGAAGGAAAAAAAACACATGGAATTTGCTTTTACTTGTGTTCTCCAGGGGACACTAATAAAATATTGCATCTCTGAAGCTTAAATTACTTTTACTATTTCAGAGTGGAGAGTAGTTAGTGCTACCAGATTTCCTGAACAGAGGACTATTTGCTCTCTTCTTTGACTCAAAGCAAAGATGCTGTGTTTGAGTATCAAGCACCAATGTCCAGCACAACAGTCTTCCATAAAGGGAAAATGGCAGATGTTGCATTCTCAAACATACCTGAAAGACCTAGAACTCTTAAAAAAAAAAAAAACCTACTTTGCCTGAGTGGGTGGGTATATTATAAATGCATTTACTTTCTTTAATGAAACAGTAGGTTACTCAAAAACTCTATATACAGTTATTAAGAGAATACCTGATGTCAAAAATCAGTACAAAAAGTTCATTACAGTCAAGAAAAAGCAAAAAAAAAAAAAAGAAAAAAAGTGCAGTGATAGTGATTATTTCACTTTTCAGATATGACTACATAGCTCAGAAAATATCAACAACCACTGCTGTATATATTATATTATGATAGAAATGCACTTCAAATACAGCCTACCACTCGAATTTTCTTGGTTAGAAGCGAAGAAAAATGAATTAAATATTAATTAATGAAACAAAATGAGTATAAACTTTTTAAAAAACAATAGTCTGCATAAATAAACTTCCTTAAGGTTTAGTCATGAAAAAACTAAATCCACTTCAAAATGGTTAATTGAATTAAACTGTTAAGTGTGAGATAATGAGTAGAGTATGCCTATATCTACACTACATAATATTTTATACAGTACATAATTTTATGCCAGGATACAAAAAAAGAAGCAAAATAAACTTTTAGGAAATGAACTTCTTCATAGAAACTGGAAAGATGTGATAGAAAACTTTACAGTTAAATGACAAAAATGATTTATCAGAATTAAATTCAGTAAAGTCTATACTGTTTAAAATTTTTTTTTTTTATGGGGCCCTCCCTGGTGGCGCAGCGGGTTAAAGCACTGCACTAAGAAGCCTAAGTCACTTCCTCATGAGTTCGATCCCCGCCTGCACCGGAAGAGATCCACAGATCCACATGGCGTGGCAGACCTCTCCTGACCCGCCCGCTGCTTGCCTCAGCAGTGTACTTC